GGTTGAAACAAAGTGTGACCATGAGTGACATGGTGCGAATCAGTGTTCCTCTGAAGTATCTGCAGTTCTGTGTCTGCAGTTCTGTTTGGCCGAAACTACTTGCAAACTGCCAGTGTCACCAACAATCTTTTGGACTTTGGTTCTGATGAAGCGAAAGCCACCATCATTATTAATGCTCTTCTCATACATTTTTAATGCTCTGCTCATACATTTTTAGATATGCCTCGATAGACGGCATGCCCCCCTTTCCTCCGCTTCACCCCCCCCCCAATTTTTTTTTTTTACACAGAGCCAATCTAGGCTACCAGAGTGGCCCTGGACCACTTGCCCGGCCGGGCCAAAAATCTATCAAAAATAAAAAAATAAAAAATAAAAAAGGTAAAGAATTTCGATTTGACCCTGAGGCAAAAGTTGTTCACGTTTTTTTTTTTTTTTTGCTGGGATCTTCCCTGGTCCTTGCACGGCCGGGCCACCGGGGAAAACAAGGTGACCCGGGCGGCCCGCCTGGTAGCCTAGGAGCCGATGTTCAATCAGGTGCCAAATGAACTTCTCTATTGTTTGCCCCTCCAAGTTTGTGCTCCGGCCTCTTTATCCGTTGTGATCTTTGGCATCACCCCCTTGAACCAATGTGTTCTCTGCTGAGCCTATTATTACCGTTGCTGTGCAAATTGTACTTTCTCCTTGTTCAGTTTGGTAATTGAGCGGCTCATTTCCGATTCCTGCATCATGAAGATGTGAGATGTTGTCTTAGAAAACTGGTTTGCCAATCTCTTTTCTAAGTTTGCCAATCTCTTTTCAAAGTTTCTTTCAGGTTACCTCTTTCTCCCTCGTGACTCTGCGGATTTGTTTAGGGAATCTTCAGTCCCTTTGTGGTTTGCTTGTTTAGTTCTCAGGTTGAATGGCCTCCACTCTGCATATTTACATATCCAATATTTTTTATCTATTGCATAATTTTGCATTGTCTGATGGGCTCCTTACCGATTCGTGGGTATCATTTTCTGTGCATCTGCCTCTGGTAGAAGGCAAAACTGTGACCATTTCTCGGAGAATGGCTGGGAGGTTTTTGGATCTGACTCGGGCATTTGTGTGTTGTTGCCTTTCAACCTACCTGCAAGTCCTGTGTTGTCACACTTTGATGCGGGGTAGTGGGGGAAAGAGCCTGGGGGAGGTGAGATGGCGGGGGAAGGGGGGAGGGAGGAATCCTTCAAAAGGGACTTCGAACTCATCTTCAAGGACTGGCTTACACCTTGCGCAGGAGCTACTCTCAGAGATCCAATCTTTTTTGCAGATCCTTTTCCCCCTTCTGAGCTTGCCCTTGTGGAGATGCAATGTTTTGGCTTGGAAGGGAATTGACAATTTCAGGATAATCTTATGAGAGGCAGTGGTAGCCAGTGAACAATGTTATACTTGGCGGTCTCTAAGGGACTGAAGAGGCAACTGTGGCTTCTCGGTTATCCGTGCGCATCCTTGAATATTGTCATGGGACGCTGGACCTGGTTTCCAGCACGGGATGCTCCCCGCCAATAGATCGGAGCAATTTTAATTTATTTTTCTTTTAAGAAAGAAAAAGGAATGTGACATGGTTGTCGCCACGAAATGCACAACACTTGAGACCGGACACAGTTCGACGCGTTGCAACTCGATCACCTCTGCTGTGATGCACAGTAGACTCCTGCACCTGCGAAAGAGAGTCGGAGTGGTAAGGTTGCACCCTGAAAGTAGATGGAAATTGAGTGGCTCTACTCCCCAGCGCTACGAAATGAATGTAGTCCTAAGAAACAATGTGCCTACTAATCTCGTTCTTTGAGGAAACGTCGTGTGCCGAATATCATTGCTTCTGATGATCAGATTGGCAAAGGCACAACGAAGGAAGTGCTGGCAAGCGTCAGCTGCATTTATTTCGACAAAATTGGCCATGTGGGTAATCAAGGATAATGGGTCGTTGTGTTCGTTCACTGCAAAAGATGCATGCCTTCGTATTAGAACCGTGTTGATCCTGTGCTGCGATTCAGGGTGATCTTCTCAGAAACTTCAACAGCTAGCTTAGGAATCTTTCTTGCCTTCCAATGAGGTCTCAGGAATAGGGAATACCCAGCAATTCATCGGTGCTCCTGCTAAGATTGGTCGAAATTCAGTGTAGAATCTGTAGAAGTTTTTTTTGTTGGGCCCTGATTGATCCGCAGCCAGATGGAATCGAACCGGTGACCTTGGCCGTAACAGCTAGAGGCCTTTACCACTGCAAACGCGGTCTGGTCTTCAAGACTGAACCCATACCATCGATGGCATTCAGCCCA